CAGCTTACACCAGACTATGTCCTGAACCATCCATCCCCGGCCCCTCAATGATGGGGGGAGAGTCGAGTTGGTTTTCTTCCTTTAGTAGTTGGTGTTGGAGCAAAATTTTACAGAAAGCAATATTTACAGTATCAACAAAGCATATTTCCAGATTGGAATGAAGGGATAAAAATTTAAGTTCAATATGGCTTGAAGACATGGTAGCATACCTCAAAGAACTGTATGCTGTATCTAATATATCCACGTCGGAATGTGAGGGATGGATTAAAAAGATGAAATTATTGACCCTAAAAAATGGTTCTAACTCGTGATCAACAGAAAATAAGAGATTTGCATCTTCGTGAGTCGAATCGTAATATGTTCAAATCTAGCAATTACTTGCATTGATCAATCAACGAAAGGGATTATCCACAACGTTTTGTATGTTGTTATTATAATTACTTTTCACATAAGAAGGGGGTTGGCTTTTGAGTGTTACAAAGAGAACTGAGTTTTCACTTTTGATGGCTAAAAATGCATTATCTTTCCATGGATCTCTTGTCATAGCCATCAATTAATCATTCATAAGCCATTTTGTATTTAATGTTGTGACGGCTTGGCAGCCATAGTTCGACATGTAAGACTAGACTTGACTTATTTGATTAAATAGAACTACCTATTTAATGAGTTGTCATATCACTCACTTGATACAAGATCTAGTATGAAGTTCTTCTCTAATACGCCTCTACCTATCTTATGTCATCCATTGGGGCTCAGCTCTTCATGGGATACGGCCAAATTGGGGTTTGGCCAAATTGCCATATGTGTAGAATGATGTGGTAACAGGGTCGTCTAGATTGCCATGTAGGATGTAGGGCCCTCATTGTCTGCCACGTAGTTCAATTAGGTATGATTATTTATATGAGTAACATAAATTATTAATCAACTTAATAAAGATTTAAGTTACTATTCTTGATAAAAATTAATGTTTAAGATAAAATGTTAAATCTCATCGAGAGGTAAACAATTGCTTGTTACAAAAATGGTTTCACCTCTTCACCTTTTCAAGTTATATGTGTTCATCACAAAAAGATGACACATATATGTTTGAAATTAACAATATATATTTTCAAGAAGTCTCCCTTCGAGATTATATATTTTTAATCATGATGCAAAATTACAATTCTTATTACGAC